CAAAAGTAATTGCAGTAAGTGCTGCAAAAGGGTCCCAAACCAAGTACTGAGTACATATGCATGCTTGTACTTTTCAGAGGTCCGATATTGTTGTATGTACAATCCTTGTTTTATTGATTGCATGTAATAATCTACTTTTTTGAGGTTGTGGATTTGGGGTTCTTGGGGTTTTCATGAGCTGTAAGCCATAATCATCACAATTATGACAAATCACGGCTTGAATTATCTTGCTTTGCATGTAATGAGTCTATCTCATATATTAGTTTCACCTTTTAAGTTGCATTAGTGAAATAAATGAACTTTGCACGATATTCTAATTATTAGAGTTTCACCTGTAACTGGTGGTAGACGAATCATAAACAATGGCATACAGTCATGCAGCCAGCCGGATACATGTCGTAGGCAACTTTATACTTTTTAATACAAACTTTGAGATGGTTCCTCATCTGTCACTTTGTTAAAGGGAAGTAGAGTACTGCGCAGGTCGGGAGGTCTGCACTTTGTGAGGTAGATATGATATTTCTAACCTCACACTTCTAATTTAAGACACTGGGAGTAAGAAAGAGGGTTGGCAGGCAAGGTGCCAATATATCCATTTAGCCAAAAACCTTAACGGTTATGTGGATATCTGTCCCTTGCACCCTCAACCTTTAAAACAGTCAACTGTGACTGGTACACTTCCTCTTTTGCGTTATCATTTTAACTGCTATAGTTTGCCACTTAAAATACACATGTATCTAAGAAGTGCTCAAAGCCATGTTTAAGCGGGCATTTATGAATTTGTAATTTTATAGAAAATCAAATCTCACAATACTTCACTGCATATAAAAGCAGGAAAACAGAAGGTTAACTCATGAAATTACAAGTTACAAAAATGTGTTAATCATGGCAGGCTCACTTTACTAGTATTTATATCTGTATAATGTCATCACCAGTTAAGAGCAAAGAGAGGTTGATTTCAGGGTAATTAGTGGACAGGAAGTGTCTTCAGTAATAAAATATATCCCCCCCACAATTACAACTAGAAAGAATTTCAGTTCTTCAAGCATATACAGAGAGTTTGTGTGTGTGTGTGTATCTATATATGATTAATTGTAATTTCTAATCAATGTGTCTTACCTCTGATAGCACTGTACCTTTGGCCATCACAAAATATTACTGCAGCTAGGCCTGGGGAACAACTGGAGGGTTGTTAAAGCTGAAGAAGTTTTATCTGCTTATCCTGTATTTTGCTGTTCCTGGTTATTCTCCCCTCATCAGCATGCTAATACAATAATTAAATAAAAAAAATTTGTTTTCATTACATACCTCATAGAACAGAGAGCAGAGAGAATCCCCACGTCAAGCCGCTATAATTAAAACAATACAATGAATGACAGGTGTGGGGCCAGGGACAGTAAGGCTTTGTGAGGAAAACGGAAGATGATGATGGATGTCCGCAAGCCAGGAAATGAGGTGGGGTCTATTGGATTTGCTGTAGCATGTAATGCACACTGTGAGAAGCTCCCAGGGTGCAGTGAAATCAGAATAAGCAATTTTAGAACAGGAGGGGAGGCTGTACAACTAAGCAAGGCTGAAGGTAAGGCTTTAAAGTTTGTATTTGTTTTGTTGGTTGCATTTGTTTTCTTTGTTCCCTTTATTTTCACCAGGTAATTCTGCAAGTAACCCGCTTCCTATTCCTTCATGTCTATATTCATTTCTCCACTGTATATCTGCAGACAGGGTTGAAACAGCTGGACTACCAATTTTAAATATGAAGCAAATGGACCCCTAGATATCAGGCTACCTCTAAGACTGATCCTATTAAAGTCCAGTATAGCTACAAAATAACGAAAAATTCCAGGCAAAACACAAAATGAATAATGACCATGCACTATGGTTACTTATTTACCCTGGTTGTAAAGAAGACCTCCATAAAGTGTGTTTCTTTTGAACATGAGGCAAATGCAAAGAGTAGGTTACACTTACCTCTGTGGCACCCTTTAATACTTCAGCTGCTTTAATGGAGAATTATGGGGAGAGTAAAATACACCCATCCCCATAATAAGAGTTGACGTGTGACAGTGAAGCTGTCAGACATCGGCTCTTTTGATCCAGAACGGAGCGATCACATACCGCCCATCGCTCAGTTCCTGATCATCTCCCTCCAGACAACGGTGACTGACCATGACCGCTCCCCACAGGGATTCCTGCCTCCCCTCTCCATTCCTCCAGTGCTGACTGGAGGGATGGACGGGGATTGGGTGGGCACAGCTGGCTCTGCCTCCGGAGAGGCATAGTCAATTGTCAATCAGGTAGCGGGGTGGACCCCCACAATATTGTCAGAATCAGTCCTGGCTGCAGCACGGCTCTCCACTGTCAGCATATAGCAGACAATAGCGTTATAGGTTCAATTTTAGGTCAAAGGTGGACATTAGTATATGTGTCCTAAAAAGATCTAAAGGGCTCTCCGCAAAAAAAAAAGGTTGGGCCATAGTTTTCTATTAAATAGTTAGCTCCTAAACTAGAAGAAACAGCTAGAGGTGTATGGCATTTTAGGTGCACCATTTGAAAAGAAACAATTGGAGCCCACTTCAGGAAATGAGTGTGACAAAGTAAGTGCACCCTCAGAATTCTATGATTTTAAGTATCAGGGCATAATAAAAAATCATGGTCCTCAGCAGGTCTTAAACTTGGGTAGAACAACCTCAGATGAACACCACAGGACATATTACACTGTCATTATTTATTTTACAAGCAGAGCCAAAATGGAGAAGCCATGTGTGAAAAGCTAAGTACACCTCATGATTCAATAGCTTGCAGAACCAATTTAGCAGCAATAATAAGTAATAATTTTCCATATGACAATCAGTCTCTCACATCGTTGTGGAGGAATTTTTTTCCCACTCTTCTTTCCAGCGTTGCTTCAGTTCTTTGAGGTTTGCGGACATTTGTTTAAAGAAGAACTATGGGGTAAGTGTTTTTCCCCATAGTTCTCCTAAGGGTCAGGGGAGGACATAAACTAGCATCCTCCTGTGACCCAAAGCTCAGTATATCGCGAGCTACAGCTCGCAGTATTCCGAGACCGCCGGAGCAGGGACGGACATTACTGTCGAGATCCACCCAGCTGGCTCTGCCTATCTAGAGGCAGAGCCAGCCGTACCCGCCCCCTCCCCGTCCGTTCTGCCAGTCAGCGCTGGAGTATCGGAGAGGGGAAGGGAATCCCTGCAAGGAGCCGTGAGTGATAGTCACGGCTGTCTGCAGGGACATGATCAAGAAATGACTAGGGTGACGGTATGTGTTTGCTCACTTCCTGATCTATTGAGCCTATCATCGCACCTCCACCACGGTGCTTGACAGTTGGTATGAGGTGTTCATGTTGATATGCTTTGTTTGATTTTCGCCCAACCAGTCGCTGTGCATTATGGCTAAACGTCTCTACTTTGGTCTTGTCTGTCCAAAGGACATTGTTCCAGAAGACTTATGGTTTGTTCAGATGCAACTTTGCAAACCTAAACAGTGCTTCCATGTTCTTTGTAGAGAAAAGAGGCTTTTGCCTGGAAACCCTTCCAAACAAACCATACTTGTTCAGTCTTTTTCTTATTGTACTGTCATGAACTTTAAAATTTAACATGCTGAGGCCTGTAAATTTCTCTGACCTTGGGGTGAATTTGCTAGGACGTCCACTTGAGAAGATTGGCAACTGTCTTGAATGTTTTCCACTTGTGAATAATCTTCATAAATTGTAGAATGATGGACTGTAAATTGTTTGGAAATGGCCTTATAACCCTTCCCAGACTGATGGGCAGCAACAACTGCTTCACTAAGACCATTGCTGATGTCTTTCATCCTTGGCATTGCGTTAACACACCTGAATGCTCCAGACCACCAAACTGCTAAATCTTTAGCTTTTATAGAGGTGGTTACACTTGCTGGTGATCAAATAATAAAGGGCATTTGATTAGCAGCACCTGTTTCTAAAATAACCGACATAGCATAATATGTCATGTGCTGCTGTTTATCTGAGGTTGGATTTTGCTAAGTTTAAGACCTGCTAAGGATCAGATGATTTTGATTATGACCTAATACTTAAAACCATAGAACTCAAAGAGGGTGTGCTTTCTTTTTCACACAAATCCCACTACATGGGCAAAATAAACCATCCATTACGCACAACAGAGGCTGATCAGGTTCCACATCCACTAAGTTAATTGGAAACCTGGATATGACCCAAATATTAGTTTACTGGCAATTTCTATCCTAACCCTAAATCTCTTTATTGTTGTTTAAAGCCTACAGCAAGCTAAAACAAACAATTAAAACCATTTTTGAGGAAGAAACAGAATGTTATCACATTCATTTTGAACAAAGACTCATGTGTCTAGGTAATAACCTCTTTAGGTTTAAATGAAGAAGCCAGTTCTAAGTTTTTAACTCTTTTATAGTCAAAACACTGATAATCATCTTAAAACAGGGAAAAACAAAGAAAAATAAAAAAAAAAGAAGAACATATCCTATAGCTTGTGTCCAATGCAATAAAACCTAAATGTAAAGTCATGCAAAGGAAATTATAAAGATGGGCCTATGGAGAGTGAATAGTAGGTGCGGTGTTGGAGAATTGGAAACAAAATGACAAAAATTTGAGTTTCCCGCTTTAGTGGTCAGAAGTAGCGTTGACGGCTTAAACATGATCAGGTTTTAAATGTGCACCAGTACAAAGTTAAACATTTTTGCAGATTTAATAGTAAATGAACATTTCTGCATGTAAATGTGTCACAGGCTTCATGCGCGTTTCCATTAATCCTGTTTGTACAAAAACTATACCATAAAAAGAGTTTATTTTCTAAATAGTTTCATACAGAAAAAAGAAAGAACCACTGTTTTACACAAAAATAACCAAGGATGAAATGGGTTCCATTTGAAAACAATTTTATCTTCCCAATTATTTTAATGTGCAGACTATGAAATTGCAAAAGATTAATCCACCGAGTCTCTGAGCAGGGCTCCCCAAGAAAATGGCATGAGAACTCCAACTGTAATCACATGGACTTTTCATTTTCTAGGTGTTTCATTCTTCCAAATAAGGACTGATAGAGTTCAGTTCTGTGGGAACACAAGAAAAACTGACAATTAGTCACATGAGGTAAAATTGACTCACCAAGGATTGTCTCTAAATCTTATTTTCTAATTTTTTTAAATAAAATTCAGAATACAAACCAGTCAGAAAAGTTACCCTGTGCAATCTCTAGCTCTACTCCTGGAAGTGTTTAATAGAAGCAGTGGGCACAGAGGAGGTGTATTTATTGGCAATTACTCTTGTATATTGCGTACTTGAATAATATATTAAAACTCAAGCCTGAGAACAGCAGTGTTGCCTGCGTCAAAATGCATTGCTGGAACAGAGGAACGGTGTGCTCCATTCACCTTAATGCTGTGGTGAGTAATGAGCTATAGAATTGCCAAGAAGAGGTGTGTTCAAAGCAAGAATGCTAAGAGCTCTTTTCCAGGCTGACATTCCATAGACCTTTAAGCAAACTGCATAAGAAAGCAAATGGCTCAGTACAATAGACTAGTACTTGGCAAACATTACATTGTATCATATTAAAATAAGTGATGTGTTTTGATGCTGTACTTATCTTTACTTTGCGTGAGCGCGACTAGTCTTCATAAGGTATTAATGGTGAATCACTGATAAAATCAATGGGGAATATTTCAAAGCAATCAGTAGCTGGAAATGTTACTGAGATCCAGATTTTCTGTTGAAAAGGGAAATCCAGATATGGGGGGAATTCCAGTAAAATACACTTTGATCAGGTAAATCAGACTGGCTATGGTATTTTTAAAGGTGAATCTGCTCACAGGTAGTGGTAAATGGTCAGCAAACCAATCATTTTCAGTCTTAAAACTACACCCTAAAGTGTTGCTTAAACTGGCCAACATGGTGAATCTGTGAGCTGAATGTCACATTACAAAATACAGAGAGCAGTATTAAAGTTTATGTAAAGGCAGCAATTTTTTTTTCTAGTTTTCGATAGAGTACTGAAAGGTTAGGCCCTTTGTCAGGTTTTTATTGCCATCTTTGTCCCCACTGTGGAGATTTGTCCTCTCTATTTGTCCTGGTGACCACTGTAATTGAGACAAAAAGCAGACATCTAAAAATTGTAATTTTCTTTAGAACAAGAGGTGAAAATCCTCAAATAGGCACACCTGTTAAGATGACAACTCCTTTTGATTTCTTGTTGTGTCTCCAATAGAAGACATTAATCCCTCAGCTGGACAGAAGAAGCAAAAAGAAAAAAAAACAACCTGGATGGGGTTTTAACCTTTTCCTACCCTATCTAAAGCAAAAGTTTTAGCTTGACATACACAGTTAGGATTCTGAATGGTTATATACATGTTTTCAGAATATAACTAACTATATGTGCACGTTTGGGGGGGAAACCAGGTATACACAAATAAAACTCACTTCTAAAAGTCACAAAGCGGTACATTCTGTCTATAAATGTCAGCTCCTATGCATCTTTAAGCCCAACTTGCCGGCAGAATTACCTTTATAGTGCAGTGATGTGCGGTACCTCTTGTCCCGTGTGAGGCATTCCCCAGCCTCGCCCACGCCCCATGAAGCCCCACCCCCTGCCGGGTGAAGCCCGTCCCCAACCTAGTGTAAAGGAAGAAGGGAGGAGCCTCCCTGTCCCTCACTTGCTCCACACTACTGAGGGCTTCGTACATGATAGGTTACACAGCGGGGAGGATTTCCTTGCTGTGTAATCTGTTAGATGCCGATCTGAATGGAGAAAAAGCGGTCAGCTTCAGAGATGAAGCGGACAGCTTTTTCCTCCATAATTCTAGGTGAGGCTCTGCCTCGCCCTGCCTCACCTACCTCCCCTGACCGCACGTCCCTGTTATAGTGTACATGCTGGGGGAGGTACAACTCCTGCTGTACTTCCTGTCTGCTCTGGTTGTAAGCATTGAAGGGCTTACAGATTTCAGCACTATGTTCAGATCTCCGCTCCCCTCTCCTCCTTACCTTTCACAATCCACATGGGCCCAGCCTCTGTTTTGTGAATATTCTGGAGGAGAGGGGGGCAGAGATGCCACTGTAGCACTGGGGTCAATGATACCTGCAGTGTTTACTTTCTGAAGCAGTAAGAAAATACAGCTCCTGCTGTAGTCCTCTAACTGATTTGACGGGCACAGAAATATACCTGTTTGACAGTGGGCTTCTCCCAGGGAGCAAGAATGTTTGCCTGTTTGCAACCTGTAAAAGGTAATCCTCTCAGGAGTTAGGCTTTTAAATCCCATCACATACAGATGTCACACAGAAGCGCACTGAAAACATCCAATGAATCAGTCACACAAATAAATAATAGCCTAAAAATGAAACGCATACACTTCTGTCTGTCACACTTTCAGCCAGGAGTTGCATCTGAAAATGGTTATACTGTATATGAAATGTCAAACATCATATATTATAGATTTATAAAGCAGATGTCGTTTGTGTTTTGACAGATCTATAACATTTCTAAAACATAACAGACACACCCTTGTTCTCTGCCATGACTCTCTGGTCCTGAAATGGTTAAAACTGAAGTACAATCAGAGGTCAGGGAATATGTCCTCTTATGTGGATCCTGCCTTCTCCATGCACTGCTATGCCAGTGTAATTTCTAGGTAGTAAGCACCACTTACTGTCCACAGCAGGGTTTACATGTCAGCAGCTGCCGCCGCATTGCTGAGACTGGTATTTTCACAGAGCATTATTTCACACACAGGTAGGCAATGCTGATGAACATGCCGTTTTTCTCATGTCAAGCCAGCCTGGAAAGCTGCCTATATTCGAACCAATAGAGCTCCTTTGGGGAACTGTTTGTGTGCGACATAAAATGCCCTGTATGGGACTGCACACTGTAATGGCCAGAATCAACTGTGTTATGGATACAAAGGTACAGACATTATATAACCTGCAGTTCCCTGGTGGTTTGATAACAGTAATGCTGCTTATATATAGCTCCGTGAGAAAGTATTTTCCCCCATCCTGATTTCCTATAATATTTTGAAATTATGAAACAACGCTTGAAGGTCTTCCACTAGAATCTTACAAAAAGGGATACATGTGTAAACAAGTAATACTTTTAATTCAAATTATGTATTTTATTAACTGAATAGCTTTCCCATTTCAGCTGGCACTATGTGAAAAAACAATTGCCCTCCTACACTACTCACACTGAAAAATGTTTTACTCCAATTACTGTATGTGGTATGCGGTTCCAATACTGTCTGCTATGCCTTCTTCCACCTTAAATCAATACTGATTACTACATGTGGTTACCACACGTAATGACAGGAATCGGTATCTGAATTATTTTCTAAATATTATTCCCCACATTTACATGCAGATCAAGCTGGCCAAAAAAACTGACAGCGACAAGGGTCGAAACAAGCAATGCCCAATGCAGTTAATGCTTGTCCATTGATCTATAGGCAAATTAAAGGAGTTCTAAAGTTACAATATATACTATTCTGTTATAACATCAGCATTGTGACAGGAATACTTACTACAGTTTACTTTGATAATGCAATCAGTCTTAATTAAAATAAAAAACATTTTATGTAGTGTTTATAAAGTGAATTTCTTGGATGTCAAGAGTGCTTTGCATCTCTTTCCCTGCTGCTTGATGTGATGCAATCTCAATTTCTCAAGACTACATTGCCCAGAATGCATTGCATCCAGCAAGCAATGACAATATTACATTGTTGGAAGTTCAGATGGCAGGCTTAGTTAGAGTGGTGACACAAGGAAGTGCATATTCACAGGGCTGAGTGAAATTATGTAAAACCAATAAAGAATTTCTAAAAGTAGAGTGGCAGAGGCTATTTAGTTGCATTACCACCTGGAATTAAAATGGATTTCTTGGGGGTTTGCATGATTTGATTTACACAACATGTCTACCACTTAGAAGATGCAATTATTTTTTGTGTGTGATATACACAAGAAATAAGACAAAAAAATGTGCATAACTATTCACCCCCCCCCCCATGTCAATACTTTGTAGAGCCACCTCTTGCAGCAATTACAGCTGCAAGTCTCTTGGGGTACATCTCTATAAGCTTGGCACATCTAACCACTGCGATTTTTGCTCATTTTTCAAGGCAAAACTGCTCCAGCTCCTTCAAGTTGGATGGGTTTCGCTGGTACAGCAATCTTTAAGTCATGCCACAGATTCTCAATTGGATTGAGGTCTGGGCTTTGACTAGGCCATTCCAAGATATTTAAATGTTTCCTCTTAAACCACTCGAGTGTTGCTTTAGCAGTATACAGCCATTGTCCTGCTGGAAGGTGAACCTCTGCCCCAGTCTCAAATCTCTGGCAGACTGAAACAGGTTTCCCTTCAGAATTTCCCTGTATTTAAGAGCCATCCATCATTCCTTGAATTCTGATCAGTTTGCCAGTCTCTGCTGATGAAAAACATCCCCACGGCATAATGCTGCCACCACCATGGGCATTGTGTTCTCGGGGTGATGAGAGGTCTTGGGTTTCCGCCAGACAGAATTTTCCTTGAAGGCTAAAAAGCTACATTTTAGTCTCATCTGACCAGAGTACTTTCTTCCATATGTTTGGGGAGTCTCCCACATGCCTTTTGGCGAACAGCAATCCTACTGTATGTTTTTTGTTTTTCTGTAAGCAGTGGATTTTCTCTGGCCACTCTTTCATGAAGGCCAGCTCTGTGGAGTGTACGGCTTAAAGTGGTCCTATGGACAGATACTCCAATCTCTGCTGTGGAGCTTAGCATCTCCCTCTGGTCTCTTTGTTGCCTCTGACTAATGTACATCCCTGATCTGTACTTCTCCAAAACTTTGGAGAGCTCCTCTGTCTTCATGGTGCCGCTTTGCTTGGTGGTGTCCCTTACTCAGTGGTGTTGCCGACTCTGGGTCCTTTCAGAACAGGTGTATATATACTGAGATCATGTGACACTTAGACTGGAGGTAATTGGTTGCACCTGATCTTATGTAGGGGCTTCATAGCAAAGCGAGTGAGTACATATGCTCGCACTACTTTTTAGTTTTCCATTTTTTAAAACAAGTTGTTTTCTTGATTTTACTTC